TTAACAAGGTGGTTGTAGCAGCCGCCGCACTGCGATACGTGGGTTTCTGAGCATGCCCCTTCCTTCGCTGAACCAGCATGGCGAAGTATGGTCAAACAACCCCCCCCCCCCCATGACTGGCATGATGACGGGAGGCCTTCATCCAGCAGTGGATTGACAAAGGGCCGTGCGCTATTATTACGTCCGCGCTGTATAGGGGCCTGGCAAAATTTCGTAATCAACCCGCTCACCACGGAGTTACACGCAACATTTATCAGTCGCCACGATCACTCCACTGCTGGCTGAAGACCTCCCCACATTGAGTTGTCCTGCAATTTTCGATTTAAAGCTTTCGTGACTGCAGGGATTCATCTTCTTGGTTCTTTCGGTAAAGTCACGTAGAAGGGAAGTAATAAAATAATAAAAATAAAACATAATAAAAGAATTCTCACGACGTTTTGGCCACAACGCAAGCAGCCGTCATCAGGTGAAAAAATTCTTCACCTGAGGACGGCTCACGAAGTTTCGGCCACAACGCAAGCAGCCGTGAAGAATTCTTCACCTGAGGACGGCTGCTTGCGTTGTGGCCGAAACGTCGTGAGAATTTTATTTTATTACGTTTTATTTTTATTATTGTGTCCTGCAATGTAAAAACAAAAGTCAAAGCCACTTTTCAGTGGGGCGGTGCTCATCATTAGCACAAGCGACCCTCGTGACGTACATTCCACATTCTCATGGCAGGGGCCAGTCCATCCATCTGGACCCACCACCGGAGCTGCCGCTGCGTTTCACCACAAAGCGGCAAAACAAGATTCTACCCTGCGCCACCCTCTCTAATCGTACGAGCACATCAAACTATGTCGCGTTACAATAAAAATAAAAAAATTTCTAAAATGTAAACCGCGTTGTTGTTTTGTGTTGGGGGGGTGGTGGTGGGTAGTGGGGGGGGGGGGAGTTCAGCCGGCTCGCTGCCAAAAGCCACCGCGTGTGCACGGCTGGGGAAGAAAAGAGGCTCCTTAACAACACAACAACAACAACAAAACCCCAACAACAACAACATCAACGAAATGTTTCCACTGGGTTCACATAGCACCGACACATACACGTTATCGCGTGCCCACATGTGTGTGCGTGTGTGCGTGCCCGCGTGTGTGTGCGTGTGCTAACAGCACTTGCCCCTACAGTCTGTTAAGGCTATATGGGGGATCTTTATCTTTGGATCTTTGTGGGGAGCGGTAGTGTAGCGGTTAGCACGCTGCGCTATGAACCTGGCGACTCGGGTTCGATTCCCGCTCACGGCTAACACCAGTGACGATTATCTGAACCGGTCCCGGGCCTCCCCTAGGTCGACTCAGCCTCAAATGAGTACCTGGTGCGGTGTGTAAACATCGCGACTGGGGAGACAAAGGCGGTCGGGCGTGGTGCTGGCCACCCACCCCCTCGTGTACCGTTCCGGCCTTCATAGGTGCTCGCTAACAGCACTTGCCCCAACAGTCTGTTAAGGCTATACGGGGGATCTTTATCTTTGTGTGTGCGGTTTGAACGAAACCAGGGGGGCAACGCAAATGAGCCGACGAATTTTTTTTATTTCATTTAAACGCTTTCACAACCTAAAGGTCGAGAGCTCGAGTGCATCAGATGGTACGCTCAAAATAACACCTCCATTATGGACAATATTTCGTCGCCAAAGCCCACGTGGTTGAACCGTCTCTGTCCGTCCCCTCTGCCTTGCACGGCAGAAATGAAATCTCTCGTGAGGACGGTCCCCAATATGGACCAAACGTTGCGTGTCGCCATCGTTATTAAGTTCAATGATAAATATTGCCAATTAAATACCTCCGAGAAAAAAGAAACGAAGACGCATTGGCCGATGTTAAACCCTGTCCAGTTATCCGAGTGTAACCAGGAGATGGGAGTGCGGCTTCAGTGTCACCCCCTCGTAGACAGCGTCTGTCTGCTTGGCGCTGGGTTGTCTCAAGGTTTTACAGCCTACTCCTCCTCCTCCAAACACCAATTCGGAACTCCTCTCGCGAACGATTTACCAACTACAACCAAACGATGGGATCCATGACGTCTTGTGGTTGTTGTTGTTGTTGTTTGACTTGCATCCCACTGGGATTTTTGCACACAGCGTTGGTGTACGGTTTTTTTTCTGCAATATTTTGCTGTCTTTTCTTGGATTTTCTGTTTGCACTTAGTTACACATTCACTTTAAGATGTTTTTTGTTCATGTTTTTTGTTTGTTGCGGTTGCACCCGATTCAAGAGCCGAATGGCTCACAGGGCTATATACCTAATAAATGAACTTGAACTTGGAGCAGCACATTCCCGAACACACGCTGCTTGAGACTTGGCAAAAGCCTGTCCTGGGTAATTAACTGGCGAGCGTTATTATTAGGATGCCTCGGGAGATAAATGAATGATTGTAAGGACTCGTTAATTTAAGAAAAAAGGTGTACTATTATTATTCAATTCCAAACGGAAAGTTGTACAGTGTCGATTAAAAAAAGAGAATTATTTAATTGCTCGATGCAAAGACTGTGAGACACGAAAATTAATTAACCATTTAAAAATTTGCATCTAAGAAATGTATCACTGAATTATATACTATAACTGTATTACATTTAATAATGTAAATATATATATAAATTTACCCAGTTTTTGTAAATTATAATTGTGAACCAGGTTTGTTTTCCGGATGTCCGATGGCCTGCCACGACTAACATCAGTGGCGAGAGATATCTAAAGCAGTCCTGGGCCTCCCGCCCCCCACCTTCACCAACACGCAGTGACCAGCGTGGTGAAGTATGGTCAAACGACTTCCATGACCCACAAAGCAACGGGGTGGCCTTCATCCAGCATCGGCCCAACAAGGGTTTTTTTTTTCGGTAAAGTCACGTAGGAAAAAAAAATCAAATCAAATAAATGAAAACAACTCAATTAAATCACGACGTTTCGGGTGCAACACAAGCGTCCTTCTTCAGGTGCGGACAACGTAGCGAAAGCACAACTGCTCAAGTGTGTCTAAGAGATGGCTGTGACGAGGAATTATATAGTCGCGGGGGATGGAGGGAGGGGAGGGGGTGGCCATGGTGAGTGTGTGGGCGGACTGTGGACTGGAAGGCAACGTCCTGAAAGCATCTCTGAGACACACTTAAGCGGTTGTGCTTTCGCTACGTTGTCCCCCACTTGAAGAGGGATGCTTGTGTTGCGCCCGAAACGTCGTGATTTAATTTAGTTGTTTTCATTTATTTGATTAGATTTTTTTACCTACGTGACTTTACCGAAAAAAACCCAAAGAGTATGAATACTTGCAGTCACGAAAGCTTCAAATCTAGGGGGCTGTGAACTATTGTCGTTTTATCGGTGCGAGACGTACCCAATAGACATTCTAACGTTGCGCCAAATGTTCCGCCAAAAGCCGGTCAAGCGTTTTGCTGGGCAGAGGCTTCGAAACAAAGTCACGTTTTTTTTCTTTCTCTCTTCAATTCCTCTCCATTATTGTCGTGGAGAATCTGTATATGGGTCACTCTGCAGACAGGCGTAGTCGAGCAGATGCTGTTATGACGAGTTAACGCTTCTCGCAAGATCACGACGCGAGTGATACGCGGGATTCTGTGTACACACACACGCACACACGCGCGCGCGTTTCGTGCGTGTACTATCTGTGCACCGCATTGTGTGGCATCACGTGAAGATGTAGGCAGAACCACGCACAAACGGATCTCTGCACTTGTAAAGCAAGCACGTAATCACACACACGGACACACGTATATAGAAATATTTCACACCATCACAGAAAGGAAATTGAAGCCGTAATCCATGTACGGTAGTTTGGTATTTTTTTTTTTTGGCAGAAGGCTGCCTAACTGCCGCATCTGTATATTCCAGTCAGAGCCGTCCATAGCTGAAGAGCTGTGACCTGGAGCCAACCCCACCGTGCCTCCCCACCGCTCTCCCCCAAACGCCTTCGAATTAAACCGGGAAGCATCACATGTGATACCGTGACATTGAAGCGTGGGCCCCCCCCCCCCACCCCCGATTCGCCGCGCACCCTAAGGGCACGGCTCACGATTCCGGCGTTCAACTTCGATCGAAATCGGGGACGCTGCCACGATGGTGTAACAACGGCGAGCGCCGCTGGAACTTGCAAATCCAGAGGTCGCCGGGTCCGACCCTGTCTGCCGCTGCGGCGTTTGAAACGACGGCGCGAGTTCTGTGAATCGCCGTCTTCCCCCGCCCCCCCGCCCAGCAGTATAAATCAGCACAACACAGTGCGAGTGGACCGGCAGGTTACACGTGGTGGGGGTCAAGTGTGTGTACTCTCACCCCTTCCAACAACGTCTCTATAGGAGCCCCTATAGCGGGGAGGGGGGCCCCTTTACGCTAGCAGTGGCATGAGCGAGCAGTTGCTTGCTTCCTGCGCCTTTGCCTTTAGTTTCGATTTGTTAAATGAAATGCGTCTTTAATTGCACATTGCGTAATGTTGTACATTGTGAAATGTACAAAACGAATCAGCGAGTGCTCCACGTACGAATAGCAATGTTAATAATCATCATCGGTCATTGTTTATCCACTGCTAGATGAAGGCCTCAATGTGGTCACCCATCCAAGCAATATCCAGGCTCAAACCTGCTTAGTTTTTGAGATCTAATGGAGATCAGGCACATTCCAGAGTAACGTGGAATTTCCACCGACGCTCGAGCGACACGATCACGGTGCAAGTTGGCCGGCACGTACGACGCTGGCCAACGCTGCGATCCCGTACCACTACCGCCCAGCCCCGGTCAATCCACTGCTGGATCAGAGCATCCCTCATCAGTAGCAGCAGAGGCCGAGCATTCCGTCCGTGTTAAACACTTCACGGCCACTGCTTGTGGGGGGAGGGGGGGGGTGGGGAGGGGGGGGGGGTGGGGAAGAGGGGGGGCATTAATCCAGCAGTGGATCGATCACAGCTGACGACGACGGTGGTGTCAGAAAAAGACGTTGAACGTGAAGACAACGCGAGCTGTCGGAACTCACCTCGACGGTTCCTCTCGAATCGCTTCGAAATGAACTTCAGCGCGAATCCAGCCGCATTGAGATGAGCAGTGGGTCGGTCCGTCAGTCCACGCGCCGTCCACCAATCGGAGACCTCTTCTCAGACTCTGTGCCAGCCTGGGCACAAAGAAAACACGTACATGTAGACCGCCTGCTCTAATGAAGAGCCGCGAGCCGGTGTTGGATATTCCACAAAGTGCTACTCGTTTTTATCGACCCCGCAGTGATGATGGGCTCAATCAACCTCCCCCACCCGCCTCCCCCAAAACCAGGAGTTGAACTCTGCTGTTCAGCCACCCAGGTTGGTTAATATTACGACAGTTTCGTGGCGCTCAATGATAACTTATCCTCCAGTACTCAAGGGTTGTTCCTCGTTCTGCCTTTGGTTCTCAAATTACAGGCACAACGATTGAAATGAATATATCAATACATCGTTCAGCGCTATTAGCATGATAACGATGATAACATGAACCGCATTCTTCAGATTATAAGATGCACTTTTTTCCCCCCTCTAGCTTAAAGCAAAAGTTGGGAGTGCGTCTTGAATATAACCCAGAGTGTGTGTGAGAGAGCATGAGACCAGATTTATGTAACTTCATTGATGGTGTGGGTCTTACTTTCTGGAGCGTCTTATACTGTGATCTAGAATGTGGCGAAGGAATATTGCGGAGGGCGGCGTCTTTCATTAACTCGATAATTGTAAAATTACAATGAAGATTATGATTTCAAAGTTTGTCGCTGTTTTGTGACTGCCATCCCTCAATGAAAGGCTGTCTGGCTATCGAGCAATCACATCCAGTGTTCTGCCTCCTCGCTGGGTTAGGGCAGGGTCACACTCACACGTTCTCTCGAGCAATTCACGGTGCATCGTGAGAAAGGGAAAGAGATATTGTGTCGCAGGTCTGCTGTTGTTGATGTTAAACCTCGCCCTGCCACTCTCGCATCTCGATCTATAAGCGGAACGGCAATTTAATTCCAATCGATCAATAGCACTCCGATTGATTTCATACATAGGCCGTCACGGCCGACATCATAATTCACCGTTGGTTGCTTTTGCGACAGATCATGTAGGTGTGATGTCATTTGGAGTTATTGACATTATATAGCTCTAAGTAGCAAAACGAAACTATTTAAAATATTTTTATTTTATCAGGTAAGGCCTACTAAGCTATGTAGCTCTTTTTCAGAAGCGACCTGGCCACAAATGATAGCTCAACGGAGCGGCGTATCACGTGGAAATGTACTGCAGCAAAATGCTCTGAACGCACGTTGCTTCTAAATGTTGAGCGAAAACCCGGAGGATCCGGAAAAAAACCCACGCAACCAGGGGGAGAGAGCATGCAGACTCCAAATATATAGGCATCGGGGTCGGTATCAAACCCACGACCTCCCGCACACCAGGCGAGGTCGTTTACATCTCTCGCCACCGCTGCGACCATCTGTGGTACCCGTGGCTACACCACAGGAAGGGGAGGAGAGTCAAGATGCAATGCACGGGGCAAAGACAATGGAACGGCAATACGGAAGAGAGAAGAATGGGAAATCGGGAGGAAAATGACCGAAAAAGGAGCGGAGAAACGGCAGCAGAGAGGGGTCAGGAGAGGTGAGGATAGGAAGGGGCCAAAGCAGGGCCTCGACGCTGCTTCTGTTTTCAAAGGGGGCGGGGAAAGGGGGCGGATTCAGAGTGGTGGGGGTGGAGACTCGTGATCTACGGGAGGACCCAGCTGATGGAGATAGATATATTGACCAATCACCGTACCTACACGGATCTAAACCAATTTTGAATGAGCTGTATGATTATTGCCTTGGGGTCGTTGTGATAATGATAACATAATGGAGGGCTTCATTCAGCAGTGGACTGACCATGGCTTGATGAGTAATACAATAATAATACAACGGTAATAACAGACGTGGAGTACAGACAAAAATACATTTATACATATCCGTGCAACTAACCGCAATAGCGGGTGATGTAGCAATGCTGTGCGGCAAAGTTGAATACGTCCATGACATCGGATGCAGTCAAACGCAACAACCGTAAAGTCCGGATTATAAGACACGTCGGGAAATTAAGACCACAAACCTGTTCCCCTGTGTCGATAAAATTACAAAAATCTAGCCACGCACACGGCTACCCAGATTATACGACGCACCCCCAACTCTTGATTTAAAATGCAGCAAAGTTAATATTGTAATGCGAAGAATACAGTGAATGTAACTTGAATGGGCTCTACAGACTAAAGCATGCCTGTCAACCCACACGGTTTACCCCGTATTCTTGCACAGGGAAATTGAGTTTCCAGGTCCGTACGGCGGACAGCCGTTTCAATACGGTCAACAACACAATGTGTCTATTTTTCTTCTTCGTTCTTTCGGTAAAGTCACGTAGAAGGAAAATAATACAAATTAAACATAATAAAATAATTCTCACGACGTTTCGGCCACAACGCAAGCAGCCGTCCTCAGGTGAAGACCAGGTCTGTCGAGGCCGAAACGTCGTGAGAATTATTTTATGATGTTTTATTTTTATTATTTTATTATTTCCCTTCTACGTGACGTTACCGAAATAACCAAGAAGATGAATCCCTGCAGTCACGAAAGCTTTACATGGAAATGTCTATTTTGTTTGTGTGTTTCTCCCTTGTGATGTGACTTTGTAGGATGAACGTTGATATTCATAAGGGGCACTGGGGTGACCACTAAGGTCTGAATTGAGTCTGCAATAAGGTATGGCACAAGTATGATGAAGGCAAATATGCCGCTCATAACAAAACGACTTACACAACAAGATACAACTTCTTAAGCAGCGGTCGTAAATCATGGCGATTTTCAACAGCAGAACTGTAACACGCGTTTATATGAATGCTCGAACTCGAGAAACTGCACAGTGAACTTGCCACGTACCACCGATAAGCAGAAGTAGAAAAAGGCACGGGCGAATATCAATGACACATTTGCGAGGAGCGGTGGCGCAGCGGTTAGCGCGCCGCCGCTCTGAAACCGGCGGCTAACATCAGTGGCGAGTGACATTTGACCCCCGTCTTGGGCCTCTGCCCCCCCCCCACCACCACCAACACCTCTCACCAAACCTGCACTAGACCAGAGTGGTGAAGTATGGTCAACCAAACAGCAGCGGTTGATTGACAAACAGGGCTGGGAACGAAATAGCCCCTATCACATTCTTGGTTCTTTCGGTAAAGTCACGTAGAAGGGAAATAATAAAATAATAAAAATATAAAACAATAAATATGTATTTTTATTATTTTCTCATTTCCCTTCTACGTAACTTTACCAAAAGAACCAAGATTATGAATCCCTGCAGTCACGAAAGCTTTAAATCAAAATCGCCTATCACGTCAATTATTGTATTGCATACGTGCATGTGTATCGACTCACAAACTCAACAGGTATATTTTACAATCATAACAATTGTTTTAAAAAGCAGAATACTACTCGTGGTAATTTCACACTTACGGAGCATGTAACTAATAGAGTGTACACTCAGTCCGGGTATTGTGATGCTTTGCTCTCCAACGCCTTAAATAATCCAGCAGTGAATCGAGCCTGTCAGTATAGAGAGCGACCCAACACTGCCAATGTACACTCGTGGTGCGGTGTGTTTAGTGTGCCTATAAATAGTGGGCTATATAGTTCGTCATGTGTATACACGAACTAATAATACATTACATAGATACTGAACGAGGTTTTTTTTCTAGCTAAAGCAGTCTGTGACTACACAAACTATTGTTCGAAGCAGTGTTACCGACTGATATACCGTGCGAAAATAGTGTCACTAAATGAAATTGTAGCAAGGCATGAACGGGAGTGATGTTCTTACTTGAATATAACTATACACCGTCACGACAACACACACAGCAACAATACAATGTATTTAGCATATATATAAACACAACTGCCTTGTGAAGATGTATGTACGCGTGTCAATGTACTATGTAGAATTGCACGTACATACAACTGCATGGTTTGACACCATACATCTCATATATACACACACACACATGAGTGCACTTCACATGATTACACACTATACCATTCAGCACACACATACCCATCAATATACTACAGCGGGTAAAATGTATGTGCACATCAATACAAGGATTGTGTTGGCACAACACACAACTGCATGCGAAAGACGCTCTAATACGCATAACCCATCAAAGGTGCCAGACAGTCTAACACACGTCCTATACATTAACACAAAGACACTACTATATCTAGTGCAGGCAGATAACAAGCAACCCAAATATCCACAAACCACACGCGCACACACACACAACTACTACTACACAGCTGTTCTAAGTGCAGGAAAGAGCATTCGTAACACGCGTGCGTCATACCACAGCAGTAGGAAGCGATGTGTGAACGGCGCACTCACAAACAGCCATAGCACAGCACACAGCAAACAACACTCGGACGGACACACACACACACATCGACAGCCACAGACATTGACAAGTACCATCATCATCATGCTGCTGCTGTTGTTGTTGTTGATGATTGTGACAGGGCTGGCTGGGTGGTGGGGGAAGACACGCAACTCAGCATTTGCCCAGTCCCGAAACAGGAGAAGAATCCACAGCCACAGCTCTTAGCTATTTTTACCGACAGAGTGAGAGAGAGAGAGCAGCAGCAGCAGCAGTGGGAGGGAGATGGGGAGGTTCGAAGGGAGATTTGAGAGTGTGGGAGGGGACAAGGAGGCATGGCACTCTAGGGGATATAGGAGGAGTCAGGGGTAAGAGGGTGGAATAGGTCTTGCGTTACCCAGGGGGCCCAAGACCACCTTTTTTAAAATACCTCCGACAGCCACGCATGGCGAGATACGAATATTTTTCGTGTAGGCTACACAGCATGTTCGAGGCTAGTGCTGTGAGCGAGGAATTGTTTATATGGGATTGGTGGTCAGTATCACGCCCGGCCGCCTTTGTCTCTCTCTCCCCCCCCCCCCTCCTCCTCCCTCCGTCCAGTGGTGATGTCTGGTTGCGGGTTGGTAAACAAATTTAAGGTTGAGCCGACCTAAGGGAGGCCCGGGACCGGTGAGCGCGCGTGTTTGGACTCGGGCGCAGTGCGCGACACGCACACACACGCAAAGTCGCCGG